TCACTGTGAAGATAGGACAGCTCATTGGCCCACAAATATTGTGCAACATGTTTTGATCTGGCCTTGGACTTGTTGAGCTAGTCTATTAACAGGGGACCTAAAAAGGCCATAAAGCCTTTGTGACAAGCTTTTGTCTCAGATCAAAAGGGGAGAAAAAAGCCAGCCATCCTGGAAGTTCACCATCTTTATTACCTACTTGAAAAGTTTCTGCACCCAGATAAGCCTCTCCACTGACACAGTAATTCAAATCATACCAAATCAAACTAAATTAGGAAAAGCCCACGTTTAATGGATATAATGTTCCCGGATGATTTCCCAGCCCCCCAGAGGGGAGATAGAAAAAGAGACAAAAACAAAACAAAACAAAACAAACAAAAAAACCCAGGCATTTGTTTCCTGGGGGGCAATTTAAATCACCCTGTGGGAGTGATCTTGAGCATCTCTAGGGGGAGTCCTGTTGGGCAAGCTTTCTGGAATGGGGCAGGGTTTGGGGAGACAGGGACGAGGTGGATATTGAGGTGGAACTTCCACCAGAACATTCCAGACTCTTTGTTTCTATAGATGCCAGGGGGTAAGGTGGAACTCCCTCCAGAACACTAGTCATGGCCCCTCTCCCCTATCCATCTTTATACAGGGTATCTTTTTAACTTCCAGTCCCACAACGGAGCAAACCTTCAGGCAGTCTCTTTCTTAGGCAAGAATTAGGGAAGGGGGTAGGGAGCAGAACATGTGGCAATCATCCTGTTTGATGTTCTCTCCTTCCTAGGTAAGAGATCCTGATCCCTGGAAAACTGCTGGATTCTCAGACAATGTCTCAGTGAAGCACCTGGGGAATCTGTGAGAAGTGTTGGGGATTCTCACTCTACTGCCTCCCAGTTGTAACTTACTGTCATGGATAATCCCAGGTAAAGTCTGTGTTTTGTGATCTCCCTTATGCAAAGTATCTCACATAATTGATAGGAAGGTAATATTGATAAACTTTGACTTATACTATCCTGATGAGCTGTAGTGGATTATTGAGATTTCTTATGATTAAGAAAACTTAACAAAGAATTAATTACCTGATGGCCTCAGGTAGGCTGAGAAACTCTGGTCAGGAAACTTGGCTTGACTGAGAATACCTGTGGCCTGTCAGGGTCCAGGAAGCTGCTGATAAAGGTGTGGCCTCCTAAACTAAGGAAATACCCATGCAGCTCTCAAGACCAATGCACCAACCTCTGTGGGTATTTACCACCCTGAGACAGCAGAGGAACTGACCTGCAGGTGCAATCTTCCATCCAGAAAAATTCCTGCATGAGGTCCTAAGCTTGACATGGTTGTCTGTCACTTAACAGATTCTGGTTGTTATTTGTTTTATGTGTTTGTTTTGGTTGGTTGTTTTGTTTGTTTGTTTTTTTTTTGAGACAAGGTTTCTCAGGGTATCCCTGACAGTCATGGAACTTGCTTTGCAGACTAGTCTGGTCTTGAACTCAGAAAGATCCACCTCCCTCTACTTGTCTCTGGAGTATTAGAATTAAAGGCCTTCACCACCATGTTGGGCTTGGGTTTGTCTTTGTATTGAAGCTTTATCATGAAAGTTGGGGCCAGGGTTTTACTCTAGCTTGTCAGGTGGTACAAACAGGAACAGGGCTTGTGCTGTCTTCTGGAACTGCCCTGTCACACTTCTACTCATGCCTATCTTCTTTTCAGCAATGTGAATTTAATTCCATCCTGATCCTGTGTTTGCTGCTGCTGCTGCCGCCATTCTTGTTGTATGTGTAATGGGGACTGAAGCCACCTTCATGCTTTCTGTGTGTCTCAGACAGCCACACCACCTATCCTTGGTTCTTTTCTAATAAGGATGGTTTTCTATGCTCTTGCAAATACAGCATTGCTATGTTTTGTTGGCCTTTAATGAGATGTAGTGTGGTCACACCGTTTACTTCTGTAGTCATTTATGGCTCCCTGTGACAGTAATTGGGTCTCTTCCAGAACACATTGGGCCGTTTATGCTGTCTGTTGTCTTAAAACACTACGTTTTCCAAGTATTCTTAAAATTTGCTTCAGAATCTGCTTCTGTTTGTATTCATTAAAGATACTTTAGCATTTTAAATTTTCAGCAAATTAGAGGGTACCTAATTTGACAATTGAAAGTAGATTGATAAAAGTTTTAAAAACAAAAACTTGAATGTGGATGAATCTATAATTTTGTTATCAAGGGGAAACTCAATGACTCTAGAGCTGGCCATTCTGAGGATACAAACACATGGTGTCAGTGTGTAGGAATAAAGTGGGAAGCTGTTCTAAACAGTTTTTTAGTATCTTTTGAAAACTGAAGGAAAATGAAGACATGACCTCTCCTAGGTATGGTTGAGGAGAAGGGTTTTTTTTTAGATATGAAGAGTTAGGCCAGAGGCATCTGGAAGGGCCCAGACTAAATAGGGCCAAGAGATTGGAGGGGAAGGAGGGGTAAGCAATCCAAGAGAGGATCCAGGGATCAAGAGACCAAGAAAGGACACTTACCAAGTAGGGGAGGAGAGATGGATGAATAGAACAGATGGAGGGAAGAAGCAGTTGAAGAGGAGGACTCTAGAAGTTGGAGTCAAATATGGGGGTGGTCAAAGCCAGCAGAAACAAATGATCCATACACACCTTCAGCGAGCAAATCAGCAGCTTGGTTGGATTAGGAGAGGGGCTGAGCCCATTGGAAAGGAGGCACCTACGTGCCCATCCCACAATCTGTTCCAAAACTGCCAGAACATGACAGCCCTGGGTGTCTCTCTGGAACTTGACAAAAACATGGTGTTTTTCTTGTTTTGATGCAGTCCACCATTTGTGAAGTAGCATCAGGATCTGAGTATTGAACTCAAATGCCATTTGTGGTTGAATAATATTTTCACTGTGCTATGTGCATATAATAGAAACTGAACAAGGTGTGTTCTCTTCAACATTTTTGGCACATAGTTTCACACATAAGCAAAAACCAATTTAGGTAACAGAATGAAATCTTTTAAAATATATACACAATGTATATTTTTAGAGACAGACTGGTTTGTATTCTAATATTATAATATTTAAATAGATGTCACTAGGTAGATAGGTGTACGCCATTGGTAATTTTGTCTTCATAGACAACAGTTTAGTCATGCCCATTAACTCTCAGTTTTAGCTGTTAGAAGATACAACTCTTGATCCCCAGATCTACAGGTCAATATAATGCACTATAATCCACAGCCCCAGAGACGTAACAAGGAGAGCTCATGGGGGAAAGAATAAAGTCCCTGGGAAGGGAAATAAAAGAGACCTCCTTGGCAGACTTGGAGCAGGTGGAGATGGGAACTTAAGGGATCAGGCTGGGGCAGGGTGGAGGGGGAGAGTACTGAAAGAGATGACTGGAAGGGGTGTGTTTCCAGGTCAGGTAGAAACCTGATGCAAGGGAAACTCCCATATATCTATAGGGATGACCAGAGCTAAGACTCCTGGCAATAGTGGCCTGAACTGACCACATCCTGTGATCAGATTATGGACTACCCCAATTGTCATTACAGTCTTCATCCGGTAACTGATGGACACAGACCCAGAGAGACCCACAGCCAAAGATTAGGCCGAGCTCGGGGAACCCTGTAGAAGAGGATGATGGATTGTAGGAGCCAGAGGGGTCAAGGACATCACAAGAAAATCAGCAGAAACGACTGGCTTATAGGAACTCACAAAGTATGAACAAACAACCAGGAAGCCCGCATGGGACTGACTTAAACCCTCTACATATATGTAACAGTTATGTAGCTTGGTCTAGTTGTGGGATTCCTAACAATGGTAGCAGAGGCTGTCCCTAATATTTTGGTTGGCTCTTGGGAACCTATTCTTCATCCTGGATTTAGGCCTTGCCCATCCTAAATCTAAGAGGTGCTCAGACTTATTACAACTTGATATGCCATGCTTTGTTGGTACCCATGGAAGGCCTGCCCCTTTCTGAACAGAAACAGAGGAGTGGATTGGGGAAGAGAATGGGAGTCGTGGTGGAGAGAGGAGAAACTGTAGTTGGGATGTAAATATATATATATATATATATATATATATATATATATATATATACATATATTTTAAATGGTCATTGTGAGGCAGAATGTCTATTTTGCCACGATGTTTACATTGTGAAAAAGATTTGAGACAACAGTCCCCACACCCTATAGAAATACAACCCACTGATAGATTCTAAAGGACTGCCACCATGTGTTTTATTACTTTGGGATCACGGCCTTTGGTTTGGTCTCTGGCTCACAGAGGAGCCCCAACCTGTGGTTTTGTGCCTGGTAAACACAGGGGCTCAAGGTTCATTGGTAAGCTGAATAATACCTGACTGGAAACCTTATACCCGAGTTAAATTCTATTTGACCACATCAAGAACTACTGGGATGTACTGATGAGGCTTTCCAACTCCAAAACCTAGTCCTGGGATAATGATTTTTCTTCTGGGCCCTAACAGACATCTCAGCATAATTCCATCATAATAACTTTCTTTGAAATTACTAATAAGTCGGTAGCAAAATGAGAACTAAGAAGATAAAACTAAGTATAAGGCATGTAAATCGTATTATCGGGAATGTTAGAAATATCAAAGAATACTGTTAATTAAAGAGGTTGAATCCAGCTTCTCTAGCATCAATCAGCGCTTGCTGGTGGTTGCTTAGCAACTTCTCAACGCTTCCTCAAACGCCCTGCCCCCTGCCCCGAGTCCCGCCCCTAGTTCCGCCGCCACGTCCGGCTTCCTCACCTCCCTACTTCCGCCCTGACTAGCCAGTGGGGACCTAGAGGCTACTCTCTTTGATCTCCATGCAGTGCCTGACTAAAAATTTGTCAACAAACAATCAAAACTAGAAGCATATTCTTTACCTAGCATTTATACTTCATCCTGGTGGATATACACTCGGAATCAATTGCTGACTTTTGTCTGGTTGTCTCCTGTGGCCTGTGTGCGCCTGTGCGTTTTTCAGGCGCGCCCCGCGCGGGGGGGGCGGGGGGGGCGGGGAGGCCCCCCGCCGCTGGCCATCAAGGAAGCGCGGCGGGCGACTAGGCGCGTTGTGTGTGCGGCAGTTCCACCATGTAAGTGTCCGTCCCTCCGCCCCGGCCCTGGCCCCGCGGCCCGACCAGACCGTAACACCCTGTCGTTCTCTCCCTCAGGTCGAAGGTGTCCTTTAAAATCACGCTGACGTCGGACCCGCGGCTACCGTATAAAGTGTGAGTGACAGGCCGGGCTGCCGCCGGCCGTGCCTAACAGGACAGGGGCGTGCAGGAAGAGGGGTGCAGCATTTCTGCCGAGAAGCCAGCACCCCTCGGAATGCACTGGGTGGGCAGGTGCAACGGGAAGAACTTTGGACAAGGTTAACACGTTACTACATCAGTCCCTTTTACGTGATTTAAAGCCCTTTAGCCACATGAACCAGCTGTTAGCGGAAGTTAGGGAAGACTTCCTAAGCCTGGACTCTTGACAGGTCCGAATCTACCACTGTCAACTTCAGGTGTTTTGTTTTGTTGTGTATATGATTCAGCAACTGGGAACCTTAGTGATGGACCCCAAGTCACACACAACTTGGTTCTTAGTAAAAAGTGCTTAGCACGATTGGGGCATGGTGGGGGTGGGGCCATGTATACTTGTTGGGCTCTTTATGTTTGAGCTATTGAGTTGATGGTTAACACAGGTTACCTATCTCAATTTTCTTACGATTTTTAAGTATAGACCCCTTATTGTGTAACTGCAGCTGGAAGGCCTATGCTAACTGGCAAAATTCCCGTAAGAGTCTTTGCATGGTTTATGTAGTGGCACCAAGGTCTAGCTCACTGATCTGATAGCAGCTATCATCGCTTGCTGTGGCTTGCCACCTGTGACTCATTCAGATTCTGGGTCTATTGTTCCCTTACCTTTCTATCTCTAAAATGGTCTCCTTACCCCCCAATTTCCAGTAATTGCTCCATCTCTAAACTATTTTTCTTTCAAATACCCACATCCTCTTCCTCCAGATGATTTACTGCAGTATCTCTTCCACAATACTCCTTTTAATCATTTGTCAAGCTGCTTTTTGGCCTGTCACTCTTCCCTGCCCCAGTGCCATGCCCACTCGTTTCTCATGGAGATGAAAGTCTATGGTCTACCTTTTTAAATCACGCTCTGGAAAATACCCTTGAATCTGTTGGACACATCTCTTTAATCTGTTTTGCTTGGTGAAACACCAACTGCAAATCCAACCATTTATGTTCTTTGCCCTTGACTCTTTTCCTGGAGAAAATAGCTTTGGTGAGTTTTATGAAAAAACCCGTGGCTAGCATTCTACTATGTCCCAAAAGTTTGCTCACTTTTCTATTTTCAGAAAGTATTTTTGTTTTATTTTACAATTTCCACAACTCCTTTTTCCCTTGATGAAAAAAAGTGAGAGGGCAGTTCTGTCATCTTCATGCCATACCCACAAACGTCTCCCATACCTTACCATAAAGAACATAGCTACTGTTGTAAAGCCTGCTCCTACAGGGCACCTTTCTCTGCTCCTTTTTCTCTCTCTGTACTGGATTATGCTCAACAGTGTATAGATGTACTCAGGAAAGGGGCAAAGACAGTCAGTCAGACAGTGCCAGTAGCAGACCTCCTGCAGCATTGGACCATTCCAGTCAGTCCATTGCAGCTGAATGCAGTTTGATTAACTGTTCAGTGTTGTGATCGCTTAATGCATGTGTGGATGTGTGTGCGTGTGTAGTCTGTTGCTTTTCTATATGAGGACTTGTAAAATACTCCTGAAAACTTGGGAAGTCTCCCATCTCCAGCCTGTTAGAAGATCTTAAACGAGTGACTATTAGGACTGTTAGAATTTTCTTTTTTATTCTCTGTCCCACTACTCCCCCCTCCCACCCCAAAGAAAAGGAAAGAAAGGAAAACAGTGTTACAAATTTTAATTATTAAATAACATTTGGAGGAAAAAAATGCCAGCACTCCCCCACTCCCCCCCCCCCCACCCAACTTCTCTTTTGAAAAACCTTACAAATGGTCTGACTTTTATATTCAGAGACTGTGGACGAGAAATCCAGACTTAGACCTAAGAATGTTCTATGACAGTAGTTGACATTAAGCCATTAGTGGGATATGTGATGACAAATTGAAAAGCTTAATAAAGAGATGCTAGCTTTTCATTTTTCTTTGCTTGAGAGGTTTGGGTTTTTTGTTTTGTTTTTCCTTCTTAGAAACCTTGATGAGATGTGTTAAGGTAGATTGAGGACTAGGGAGAGGTTGGCTTTGCTGATAGCCATCTCATCCTGGGCACACTGGCACAGCCTTTAATCCCAGCATTTGGAAGACAGGCAAACAGAGCTCTCTGAGTTTGAAACCAGCCTGAGACCCTGCCTTTAAAAAAGGGGGGGGTATCTTATAAACAGCTGCCCCTGTGCTAGACTTAACTTGTATCAATCTGGATGGAGCCATGGCTCAGTGTTTAAGAGCACTGGTTGCTTTTGCAGAGGATTAGGTTCGATTCCTAGCACCTATATGGTGGCTCGCATCTGGCTATAAGTCTAGTTCCAGAGGATCCAATGCCCTCTTTTGGACACTATGGGCACCTGCACACATATATACATACATAAACCCAAGCACAATAAACAGAGCTTTGGTTCCTTGTTTTGACTCCTTGCTTTTCTTTTTTTCTCTCTCTCTTTTTAATTTATTTTTTACATTCCAATCCCAGTTCCCCCTTCCTCCTTTTCTCCCACTTCCTCCACTCCCCACTCCTCTCATCTGCTCCACAGAGAGGGTTAGGCCTCCCATAGGAAGTCTACTAAATCTGTCCCAGGACCAAGGCACCTCTCCACCCCTACACCCCTGTGACTAGGCTGGGCAAGGTATCTCTCCATATAGAATGGGTTCAACTAAGTCAGTTTGGGCATTGGTGTTATGTCTTGGACCCGCTGCCAGTGGCCTCATCTATTGTCCCAGTTACACCATAGTCAGACTCTTTGCTTTTCTAGTGTCTTGTTGTAAGCACGAGTGCACATAATGCTACCATGAAAATAGCCAACCTTAAAACTCCAAAAACAATTTCTCTCATTTGCAATGAAATAAACTTTGAAATTCTTTCAATTCATTTTTATTTGTTGCAGTCTCAGTGTTCCTGAAAGTACGCCTTTCACAGCAGTGTTAAAGTTTGCAGCAGAAGAAGTAAGTGTGGGTTCTAACAGTGTCCTTATGGATGCAGTCTGGCTTGTTTTTAATTTTTGTCTTTTGTGTATTTGCATGCACTGTGCCCCTCCCCATCCCATTTCCCTGTCACTTGTTGCTGGGCTCATGCTATAGAAGTCACAAGCCCAGGTAAAATTGTTCTATCTTCTCATTAGAAAACAGTGAGTTGAACAAATTGACACATCTGTTTAATTGAGCAGATCAAAAGTGTGAGAATTGTATTGGTACTGAATGTACCAGAGACATGTAAGTTGCTTTTTAAAGAGCTGACCTTAACATCAACCTTATTGAGTGTACTTTTAGTAAAAATTAGTTGTCTTGAAAAATGTCTAGTTTTAACACACACACACACACACACACACACACACACACACACACACACACACACACGCACACACACACTGGCATTTTCTGTTTTTAAGAAATGAGAGTTTTCTACTTACAATTGTCAGAATTGTTTATAAAACATCTCTGGCACAACACTTGGAAGTGTAGGTTGATCTGGGCCATTTGGCACCAGAATGTGATTTGGGAGACTTCAGCTTTCTGTTTTAGTGGTGGTGTTAGTCAGCTACATCACATGCAAATCCCTTTTCTTGTTAATCTCTGACCCCTAGTACTAGGACTCAGTCCCTGGTATGTAAGCATACCATCTAACCCATGCTCTAGCTCTGCACTGTATCCTCTAGTAATCCTGTGTTTTTGCTGTTATTTCTTTCTCTAAAAGACTATTAGGTTTTAGAATTATAGAATACTGTCTTTCATGGTTCCATGAAAATGTATCAGCATGGTTTTTCCTTTCTCCCTTTTAGTTTAAAGTTCCTGCAGCAACAAGTGCGATTATTACTAATGGTAAGAGTTTGCCTTAAACCATAAGTGCTGGAGACAGTGCGACTTGAATCCCAAAGCCCCCATATATGTTACATAGACATTACACTTAATAGTAAACTCTGCATGGAGGCCATTGCATGGAATGAACTCTGCTCATCTTCTGCCTTAGGTTAGGGAAACTCCTCAGTATCTAGTGTCCTTATCTCCTCCTCTATTCTGACAAGGTTTACATATGTGTAAGGTTGTATCAGAAAGTGCTTTAGAATATAGAAAGTTGATCAGGAATATGACTTCCCTATATACTAACTGTGCTAATAGGAAACTGGTTACTGGCGTGCAGTGTTGTTCAGTTTAGATATGTTCGGTTAAAACTCTGAATCCCTGGGAACCCTGGAACAAATTCCAGTGGAACTGTTCTTATGAGATAGCAGTAAAGCAGTGAGTGAGCTGTGAGGAGCACTTGGCCATCTTCTGTGTATAAATGAATAAATAAATGTTCCATGCAGGTAGTTCTCCCCAGTTGAAGGGTCAGATGCAGGAGCTCAGTGTACCTTAGGTATGGCTGGATTTCCTACTCTGATACACTATGTGTTGTTACACTGAAGAAAGTTGGTCAACTTTCTAATAGTTATAGATTCTCCAGTGGAAATGTTTTAGACATGTAGAGTGTCACTAGAGCATGAACAAAATGACTTGTTCTCTCTTGTCTTTGAGATTGTATGTCGCCCAGCAGTGGAAACAACTGGTGGCATACATAAGGTGTTTGTTGCTTTAAAAAGAAATGATACTGTTTATTACATGTAGCAAAATAGGATGAAAAACACCATCTTCTATAGAATGTATGAGATTCATTGTACTTAGGATGTTTTGTCTCATCCGGCAGTACTTATAAACATATACCATGGGAGGTGTCCACAGATGGGTTGCTCATCTGAGAGACTTGTCTGTGTTCTGGGATTGAAGTTGCTCAGCCTTTGCCTGTACCCATAGCAGCACTAGTCCAGGAAATCCTTTGTTACTGTTTATTACAGTTTAAATTGTTTTAGCTTTAGGGATAATTTACATGATTTACAATTTATTTTCTAGATGGAATAGGAATAAACCCTGCACAGACTGCTGGTGAGTGTCTGCCTGTGTGTTCATCAAAGCTGGATATTTTATTTATTTCAGCTAGATACGATTTTTCAGAAGACATAGCTGTGTAGAGCTTATGTAGCAGTCTACATAACTGTAACTCAGTGGCAATTTGTTTCATATTTTCTATGGTTTTCACTACAAGTGAATGCAAGCCTGATTAATAGTGGTTTAGGAATTGAAAGTATCCAATTAATATGTATAACAAAGAAATCCAGAGGTAAGATTGTGTTGCAAGGTTAATGACTGACCCTCCTCTTAAAGGGTTGATTGTAAGATAGTCAGTGAGTTGCTTAAAGTCTGGGTATTCCATGGTTAGCACTCAGGAAGTGCCAGCAAGAGTGCTAGCCATTATTCCTTTAAACAGCTACAGACATTTCAAAGCTAAGTTCTCACTAATGTTCAAACTGTGAACATAGCTTAGCATGAAACATTGACATCCTGGTCAGCAGGTAGGGCAAATGTGTCTTGAACTTCAGTAAAGACACTCTTAAACTTCGAAAAAAGAGTGTACTTCTTAAATGTGTCCTCTGGCTGATATTCTAACCATAATGCTTTGAAGCTGTACTGTTTAATATAATATAGCCTCATTCTTGAACAATACTTGGCTTTTAAACAATTGTTTGGAAGATTTTGATTTATATTGTCTCTGTAGGCCACTGGTGAAAGTCACAAATCTAGAAAATGAAACATGATTTACAGTTGCAGATTTTTGTTACCATAATCAATGTTTTCAAGTATATACTTTAAATTGAAAATGTTTATTTTTTGAAAATTCTGAGGTATTATATTACATAAGTATCCTGTATGATGCTGGGCGTTGGTGGTGCACACCTTTAATCCCAGTACTCGGGAGGAAGAGGCAGGAGGATCTCTGTGATTTTGAGGCCAGCCTGGTCTACAGAACGAGTTCTAGGACAGCCTCCAAAGCAATACAGAGAAACCCTGTCTCAAAAAACCAAAAACAAACAAACAAAAAACTGTATCCTGAATGATATAGGAGGAGGTTTTGTCTTTTTGATTCTAGACGTTTTTTGTTAGCTTATATTAATTTGAATTCTTGCTTACTCTTACATGTTGCCCTTTATGTCACCTTTCAATTGAATCATGTCCATCACTGAGCTTGATTATAATCTCACTAGGGGCTCCAACTTGAGTATCAGAGTAGCTCTGACCTTAGATTTGCTGTTTTTTATGATGGTGTCACCATTTTTTTTTTTTTTTTTTCTGCATTTGCTGGCATGGTAGTGGCTGGTGTACCTTCATGTTTAAGCACTTACCATTCTGTGAGACTGGAGGAGGAATGGGGGCAGGGATCTGAAGAATGAGTACCAGCTCAGAGGATGCTAGGACTTCCTCCCTCCCTTAATGAATCATTTGCTGGTATGTTAATATTGTCTTTAGATGCCTAACTTTGTGTTTTTGTTTATTTATATAGGAAATGTTTTCCTGAAACATGGCTCAGAACTGCGAATCATTCCTAGAGACCGAGTTGGAAGTTGCTAATGTCTGCTTCTTGGAATACAGAACCTTTCAGAATAAATACTGGTATTTGTTGTTGCTGTATGGTTGAAATCAGACATTCATGATACAATGAAAGCACCAAGAATCAATGAGACAAGGAAAGTTGACTCTTGTCCCTTCTTGTTCATTTTGTTCATGGGAAGAAAGAATGCCTTTGAGTGGAGGGTACCAACCATAGGTCACATAGTAGGTGACTGCTACTTCACCAGAAGAAGAGAGGGTACTTCTGTGACAAATGGACTGTGCTTTAAAACAAAACCAAACAAAACCACCAACAAAACCAGAAGATGAGTCTGGTCATTCATTTCAGGAGCATTTGGAAAATCAAATTCATTGTATCGGATGTATTTCTAATTTTAGAATTTAAAGGATAATTGATCATAGAGGCATTTGGCTTGACAGCCTCTCTCCTGCAGGCTCATATTTAGATTTTAAGTTATATCCTTTGTGATGAAGTTAATGGGTATTTCTGTGAACAGTTAAATTTTATACAAAAGCCAAATTAAATTATGGGATGTTACCATTATGTGTGTAAATTTGCTATCTTACACCAAATAGCTTTGACATAGTGATCTTATGAAATCAAGTGTGTTCCTGGTGGGAATTGACAGTGTTACAGTAGAAGTCAGAGAAATGCAACAGGGTTGGAGAAGTGTGAAAGAATACTGGGCACATGATCAGAAGGTAGCTACATATACATTTCAGAACACCCCACGGCAGTCTACAGAAAGATTTCAGGGCCTATGACATGATGAGGTGGCTCAGCCCAGAAAAGCTTTGCAAGCCTGACAGTGAATGAGTAAGTTCAATTCCCAAAACCGGTGTGGAAAGAGAAAACCAATCCTCAGTCATCCTCTGACCTTACACGGACACCCTGATGTGAGCCAATCCCCTCTCCCACAGTAATACATTTTATAAAAGATTTTATTTGCCCCTACAAAGGAAATCCGTGTCTTGGCACATCGTGCAGGATTAACTAAATGCTGACAGTGAGAGCTGGGCTGCTCTGCTTTAGCAGGTGAGCTCTTTAGTGGTGAGAGTCTGCTGCCACAAGCTCCCTAGAGCTAGAAATACAAGTTTTCAATAAATATTGACTGAATTTATGAGTAATGTCTTCAGGACCTATTTTTATCTCGTGTCTCATATATTCCCTGTTCGTACAGGGCCTTGGTTCACTGAGGGGGAAGTTTGTAAGAAATTCATGGTCAGCATCTGAAGATATGTCAGTAAATGAAGGAATTGTCATTGTCCACAGGTGTGCAGAGTACATGCTGGGGTTCTGAATTATGTAGCAGTATGCAGTTCATGTCTGCTGGGATTTTATTTTTATAAAAGTAGTGCCCAGAGACCCTATTCCTTAGAATATGAAGCTTCTGCTAACCAAAATGTTTTAACACTTAATTGCCTCAGGTTTTTTTTTGTTATTTTCTTTCATTCTGCCTTTAGCACAAAAATCTGCATGCTGTCTATAATGTTTACACAGTCCACAATATAAAATGAGTTGCCTAACACACCTGTTCTTTGATTTGAAAATCCATAGTCTTAAAAATATTTTACTCAAAAACTAGATGATTTGTTATTAAATAAATGTGATCTGTAAGTTCTTTGTGCAGAACATTTTAGGTATTGTATTTAAATGCCCATAATTAATACTTTAGGGAAATACATTTGGTTGTAAACCATGGCTACCCTTATTTTAATATCAGATTTAATAACCAATATACCTATAGAGCCAGTTTATTAATAGTCTTTTTTAAAAATGAAGAGGTGATAAAAAGTTGTAAGTCATAAAAATTAAATTACTATTTCTAAATGTCAATCCATTATACCGAAGAAGAGAACTTCAGGAGGTCCGAGCTATGGTAGCGACCAGAGTGAACTAGGAAATTAGAAGGGCAGATTCTGAAACCATCTCTTGGGTTCTAACTATTGTCTGAATCATAAGCATGAGAACCTATGTAGGGAGGTCTGGTGGCTTCATGTGCTTCTTGAGGGTTAGCACAGGACAGCCTTTCCACCCTAGAGAGCAGAATTGCAAGCTAGGATCAAAGGACCCTGGAATCTTGGGCAGTCCTTTAAGCTGCTTGATTCTGTAGTGGTGTGACAGAGTGCAGAGATGCTGGCAGTTGATCACTGATGGGGAATGTTCTTCTGTATATATGTTTCTCATATTGGTTAATGAATAAAACTTATTGGCTGATTGGCCAGACAGGAAGTGATATAGCTGAGCAGAATCAGGATATAAGCAGGAGGTAAACAGGAAATCTCTCTCTTCTCTGCAGAGAGACTGAGCAGTCATCGTGTATCAGGCAAAGGAGTTGCAGGTCCAGCATTCCCCATTCCCCGGTAAGCCAAGGCTACGTGGAAATACACAGATTAGTAGAAAATAGGTTAATAATTGAGACAGAGCTAGCCAATAAGAAACCCTAGTCACCAGCCAACAGTTTCATAACTAATAAATATAGTGTCCGTGTGTTTCTTTGGGGCAGAGAAGGGCCAAAAAACCTCATGTAACATGTCATTACTTGGAAAACTATCTTCACAGTTCAAGTCAGTGTGCTGGTAGGTGCTTTATATCTTAGCTTTGGTTTTTATTTGAAAGAGAAGTAAATTGAAAGTACTCTGAGGGGATTGGCTCAGCCAATAAAGGTGCTTGCTTACAAAAACTTGAGTTCATCTCTGGGACTTGCATGGTAGAAGAAAAGAACTGACCTCCACATATTTATATGTATACAAATGTAAAACATTTTTAGCTACCTTATATCTTTGAAGAGACTCCAAACATTTGTAAATTGTAAGCATTAATATATTATAAAGGAGTAATTCTAGGTTATTACTGTTCCCAAGGCTATTTATAAAGCTAGGTAAAATTATGTGCATAGTTGACTTATCTTTAAAATATGTTGAATTAGTCTGGATAGATTGCTCAGTGGTTAAGAGTGCCTGCTGCTCTTGTAGAGGATCAAGGTTTTATTCCCAGTACTCACATAGTATCTCCACCGTCTGTCACTCCAGACATGCCCCTCTGGCCTCCGTGGACACTGCACTCATGTACACATGTGCATAAATCTAGAAAAAAAATGGTGAAAGTCCTAATTTGGCTTGGTCATGGTGTCTCTTCACAGCAATATAACAGTGACCAACACAGATGTGGCCGAAACTGGGTTTCAAAGGTAACTTGCCAATAACAATTACTTAGTAAATGAAATGAAAACTTTGAAAATTGCAGTTATTTATCCTTCATCCTCAGTATTTGATTGTGATGTCCACATTCCTCACTGTTTGTTACAGAAACAAACTGGCGACTTGTGAAGTGCCAAGTGTCTCACAGAGTATACCTAACAAATGAATCGTGTTAGCTAGAAACTGGATGTTGAATGCTGGGCACAATGAGTATTAAATATGGTTAAGGCTGTTTCCTTTTCTCGTGCTTCCTAAGATGAATACATTTGCAAAGCAACAAAATGACTCCACTATGCTGTGGAGGAATCAGTGGATGCCTGTGCTTGGCCTCAGCTGCCTCACACTGGGTGTGCATTGTGTGTATTTCTTCACTTTGCTGTCCAAGGAAGCTGAGACCAGCTCATGTGTCCGAGGTAACAGTGAGGTTGGCAGCAAGGTCTACACAACCAGGTCCATATCATGAGTCATTCTTGCCATCTTTCCTTAGAATTAAAATATTTCTGCAGAACAGTATACCACATATGGGTTCATAAACAGTTATCAGCCATTTTTATGATCACACTTGGCTTAAAATTTTTGTCGTTTGCATTCTTACTCCCTTTCAGTGAGAATATTCATTTATGCAACAGTCATCATTTGAAAAGGTTTCTGGCTCTATTGTCTGATTTTTTTTTTTTTTTGGTTTTTTTGCATAGAGTTGTGATTTTGTTGCTAAATACAAAATAACAGCCAAGGTTGGCAGACAAATGGAGAGCCAGTTTTGGACATAAATCTCTGGTTCTCTGGCAAAACTCATTTGAAATGTAAAAGCTGTTATTGAGAGCATATTGTGATGATACATCATGTCAATATTTGTTTGGCTGCCTAGCAGGTTTAATAAATCAGTTCTTAAATGTACAGTTTACAGTTGACGAGTTGTTTTAGAAATTAGCTATGCCACTTTTGTTGTCAGCACCACAAACATTTTGACAAGTATCGAGATGCTGGAGACTCTGGGTTTTTTTTTTTTTTTTCTAAGATAAATATATGGACAGATTAAGGCTTTTTAGTCTTTACATGTCCACTTTGTGTAAGGATGAAACAAGGAGTTGGAGGTAGATTACTAAAGTGACAGTAGAGATGGTGTCTCATGTTTGTGGTTAGCTATATCCATCCAAATAGATGTTGTTTCTCAGAACATTGGAAAATGCAGGTTTGGGGGCTACATATGAGTTGCAGGCAAACCTCAGAACCATTCAGTGTGGCCTTGAACTGGCACAACTGCTATTTGAATTGCAGTACAGAGTAAGTAAGGACAGGGTGAGGGCTCAGCAGCAGAGACTTGCAGACTGAGCTTTGAGAATGTCTCACTCTGGAAAGAATATGCCAGGTATCTTGGTTTTGTTTTTAAATGGAGCCAGCTTTTATCTGTGAGAGTGAGTGTAGTGTCTGTGTTTCAGAGTGGCATTTACTAACAGAGGGACTCTCTAAAATGTAATCTAGCTCATTTTTCTCAGGTTGTGATTTTTAAAATCTTTATTTTGAAAACAGGATATTCCTAGTGTCTTAATAAAATAAGTGGGATTTGAAGGCATGACATCCTTGATATAATCAAAGAAGTAAATGTAAAATATATAAAATTCCAGCTGCCCCTGTATCTTCTGCTTCCCATTCTCCATCCCAGATCAATGACCTGAAAGAAGCCTCTTGCTGTGGGAAGCTGCTGAGGACCTTCCCAGAGTGCACTTGGTCTGTCCCTTCTGGCAGTCCATTTTATAATTTTGGAGGGCTGTGCAGTCATAGTTAAGTGGATGTGACAAAGTGTTTGTCAGAGGAATTAAAGGACTATGGAGGGCAGTGGAAATGGTTTGTGAAGGAGCTGGAAGAAAAGACATGTAGAAAAGCATTCATATGTATTAAGGATACTGCTGCATTCTTATATGTGTACACTGTCTGCTAGCATCAGAGTACACCTGCCTTTGGGGGTTTGTAAGGGAGAAGGAAAAGAGTGAAGGATAACACTTCAAGCGCTGTGGTTTTTAAAAGTCAGGGGGTATCATTTTTAGTGTAGATGAGAAACACACTCAACTGTGGATGATATTCACACACACCCACACACACACACACACACACACACACACACACACACACACACACACACACCGTGGGTGACTACGGTGTGTTTCAGAAATGCAAAAGAAATTCAAGGTACCTTATAGGAAAACTTCTCTTGGTATGACCTGGTATGTGTATAAACTATCTGAACCTGTTTCTTGGCTGCACACAGCAGTATTGAGAAAATGTTAGTTCATGGGATGTGAAGGAGCCAGTGGAAGCAGAAAGCCGTTGGTAAATTAAGCCTGGGTCTTTAGAAACAAAGCTAGGTGATGGGACTAGTTGAAGGGGTTATGTTAGCACAAGATGATGATGAACCAGCGTGTAAGTACAGCCAACACTGCAGGGCCACAGGTTCTGAATCCCTAAACTTAACCAGCCACAGACCATATTGCAATTACGTGAACAGGCTGTCTCCCTATACTTCCCAAACAATGCGGTAAAACTGCAACTATATAGCATTTACATTATGTTAGTGTCAGGAGTCTGGATGTGACTTAGAAAGTATGCTGAACAATGTGATTGGGCTATCTACAAATACTTTCCACTTTTATATAAGGTACCTAACTGTTGGTTGGAGTCATCTAGAGCTGAGCTGTAGAGAAGCAGCCAGCCAGCTAGGTGTCCACAGAGAATTTAGCACATCACTCATAATGTAACGAGATAGGTGACATTGTGACTGTAGGGCCTCGCTGTAACTTGAGTTAGAAATGCCCTCCAGAAACTTTTGTGACTGAACACTCCATCCCTAGACACTTGGGCTGTATTGGAATAGTGCGCAGGTTTTGGGACATAAGCTCTAGCTGGTATAACTAGATCACTAGGGCTG